TGCTGCTGCACAAGCCACGCCCCCCTCAGGGCAAGGCGTCGCCATGCTGCTGCTGCACAAGCCACGCCCCTCTCAGGGCAAGGGGTCGCCATGCTGCTGCTGCTGTGGTTGTCTCCTCCTCTTCTATTTTTTCTCTACTACTTTTGACTTATTCTTTTCCTAGTATCTTAATCCTGCAGGCTTTAAGAAATATGGGGCCTTTGTTATAGTCCTGTCACTAGCCAGCAGTGACCGGGATACCCTAAGGGTTGGATGGGATTAGTTGACCAGGAATCTCTTGGCCTCCTGGGTGCATACGGGCGTGCAGTTCAGGAGAGTCTGCCAGTGCTTCCTCTTTCTCCCCCGTGTGAGGTTGTGAGGTCTGTGGCTCTAAGGCAGCGATATAATATGTTACGGACGCAGGTTTTTTTTTTCCCAACGTCTGTCTCTCTCTGCATGGCTGTTTCAGGCCTGGACAAGATTGAGTTCCTGCAGGGCCATGAGAACCAGGAGATCTACCAGAAGGCCTTTGACCTGATCGAGCACTACTTCAGTCCGGAGGATGAGGACCCCAGTATAGCCCCCAACGTGGATCTGCAGCAGCAGCAGTACATCTTCCAGCAGTGCGAGGCGCCCATGGAGGGTTTTCAGCTATAATCCTCCCCCTGCCCCTCTCCTCTTCTCTCTTCTCCTCTCTTCCTTCTAGCTCCAAGCAGCCCTTGGCGGGAGAGGCCGCGCCGAAAGAGGTGTTTTCTTCCTTCAGGATGAATTATTTGAGAATTGTAATGAAGACCATCAATAATAGGAACAAATGTTGCCAGTTGGGTCATCCCATGCAGTCCTCTTCATCCAGTCTTAAGGATTATGTTTCGTTTCAATGCACCAGGTAAAACAAAAAATTGCCTGAAAAAGACCTTAGCTTCTGCTGCAGCACGTGCACTGAATGCTGTCGACTCGCGGACTGTGAAATGCCCTGACCGATCTGTGGAACCTACAGCGTGAAGGATCACGCAGCCCTGCGGTTTTGCCTTCTTGGCTCAGGTGAGGTTCGGCGCCACAGAGGCTGGAGGCGAGGTTTGTCTTCAAAAGCTGGGTTTGCCCAGTCGCAAGTTTTTCCTAAAGTCACTTGAACTAAACACTGGACTCAATTGCTCTGTGCAAGCGGGACGCTGTCCAAGGACCTTGCTTTTAAATTCAAGACTGACAATGGCCACTGACTTCACTGTAGCAACAGTGACACCAGGTACAGCTGACATACCTGAACACGGAGCTGCTCCTGTACAACTCCCACGTGTCCCTGGAGGACTTTAAATGAAGGTTACTGGTATTCCTACCACGGCTTTCAAAGAAATGGACTGAGTGTGGAAAACCCTGACAGAAAATAACGTTTCTTTCCTCCTTTCTGTGGAATGTGCCTCATAAACAATCACACACGAACTGCTCTCATCTGGTCTTGGAATACAACACACTAAACTGAAAGACTGACCACAGAGACCTTCATTGTTAACTTTGCACGGCTCAGAGAAATTATTACAGTGGCCTCGTGCGGGCTATTTATTTGGATAGCAGTTCCCATCCTAACTTTTTTTTTTTTGCATTGCAATAGTAGCTTTGTTTTTTGGGGTTGACAGTTTCCAAACTCCTCCGCTGGGAAACACTTGACAGTCTCAATTGTCTCCACCATTTTGCCAAAAATCCAGCTCAGTCCCTTTGGGCGATCCGGCTCCTTGTTTGATATCGTTGAACGAGAGGACTCGCAGGGTGCGTTGGTCCGACTGCAGCCCCCCCGCGCTGGATGCTGGGACACGTGCTCAGGGGGGCCCGTGCCACCTGAGCACCCGAGCCGAACCAGTCCTGGATCCTGGAAAGCCTCCGGGCCAGGTGGAGCCGCCGCTTCCCCTTCCAGCGAAATCGAGAGACATAGCGACGCTTTTCTTTCTTTCTGCCTCGCGTTTCAATGAAGCTTGGAGTACCACAGTGGAGGTACAAGAAGAAAATAACCTGACTGGGGGGGGGGAGCCATCAGCAATTTCTTTTAGGTTTCTTGTTTTTTTTTTAAATTTCCCATCGGCATCTTTTAAAGAGATGGTGAAACACACACCGCACCTTACAACATTATACTTGATCCACGTTATTTTACAGCTTTCGGCTGCCTCTTGATTTGGGGGGAAAAAAAAAACAGTTCCGAATCGAATGAATGGTCAGATCTGTGAATTAGAAGAGCTGGAATATGGCGCAGACTTGTTTTACATTTTGCACATAAAGGCTGTCTCATTCCCTGCTACAGTGTCTTAGGGGCTGCCAGAGTGCCAGATGACGTCCTCTAGTAATTGCCACTCGGCGATGATTACTCGAAGGGTGAGCTGCAAGAGCTTGTCGGTTTCAGCAGTATGGATCTTCATGGTAATAGTCCTGGCTGCAGAAGACGCTAGTATGCTTCATGTAGCATTTCAGATGAGTAGGCACCACAGGGTTAATTGACTAAATCCAGTCATTGTGTAATGCCATCAGCATTGATTCTTCACCGGTTCTATTGGTAGAGGCCATTTGCTACAAAAGGTCATATACATATTCAGTTTGGCAAGGTTTATTTTGGAATGAAACGTGAAAAAGACCACTTGACGAATCTGAAAAATGTTTTACTATATAGTGCACTTTTTTTTCTGGCTCAAGACTATGTACACATGTATATGTATATTCCTTTCAATATAATATGCAATCTTGGCAGTCTGTGCAAATAGTTGTACTCTACCTGTTTTATATTAATTTGATAAAGGAGAAAGATTAATAGTACAATATACAGTAAATGTACTTGCCTTGGGACTCCTCAGCATGTGATGCTGAAGCCTTGTAACTTGTGCCACTGTGCTTCTCTCGTATGAAGCCCACAGCTATGGTTTTATTTAACACTGCACCATGCTCATGAGAAGTCAAGGAATGTTTTTTTTTTTGGTTAAAGGCCACTATCAGTGTTTTATGTGTTGCAAATTATTATCCACACAACTACACACTCTTTGAAAACCAGGAGGAAAACTTAGAGCAATGTTTTCAAGTCAGGAAAGCTGACTGGACCCAGGTCAACCAGACCGCTTAGGCTTCAAAATTAAAACGCGCTCAATGGAAAATGTTTTCTTAATCATTACTTGACACTTTTAAAATAAAAACATAATTATACAAAAGAAATATGGCCTTTTGAATATTTTGTATTCACACTTTAATTTCATTGCTCTTATTTTGCCCTCTTTAGATTGATAAATAGACCCGATTTGCACAGAAGGTTTGCAGTAAGTCAGCACTGAGGATGGGCTGTTCTGACCATCTGATCTGCGGAGTCTGTGGTCGAAAAGCAAATAAACCATGCATGTAATTCTGCTTAAGTGGTTTCAGCGAGAGGCCAGTCCTGCCTCAAAGTGTCTGGTTGGTCTGGGGTCTGCTGGCAGCGCTACTTCGCACCCAGACTAAAATGAAATCGGACAATCTAGCGCGGACCTCCACTGGAACAGCTCCCGAAACCAGGCTGCTCCTGAGAAACGCGTTTTGAAAGAATCGATGGGCCGATGATTCCGCCATGCTGCATAGGGTCTTGTTTTCAGTCTTGACTGTTTGATATTTCAGAATGTGGTACAGTTTGTGCGAATCATCCCACATCCTCACTTTTGCAGTAGAACAAAGATTTTGACTGCACAAGACCACAGAAATCGTGCTTCAGTGGGGCACAGCCCTTCCTATGGGTACTTTATGATAACGAGATAGGTTACGGTATCTCATACCTTTTCACCTGCAATAGTTTATTTGGAAAAGGGATTTGTTTGTATCTAAAACAGTGTACACATGCACAAAAGTATATTTGTAAAGTCATTAGAAACATTTTAAAGTCTTTATTAATTTTATAAGGGAAAAAAAAAACATCAAAGGCTTCTCCTTTCCAGTATTTTTGTAATAGTTTTTGTTTAAAGACGTCAAAGGGAAGCCCACAAACCACAAAGGATGCGAAGCAGAAAGAACATTACTTGTCAGAAATGTTTTATTGGAAAAATATTTGACAGAAAATGAGGCCAGATATGCGTTTCTCGTAAAACCGTTTTCTTTGCTTTATTTGTCTGGACTGAAGGTGCCGCATTGCATTACAAAAACTAAGAGAAACCATAGCTGGCTCAGACCTGAAATAGTTTTAATGGCTAATAATAAGCTATGAATTTGTTTACCAAGTTAATTTAATTTTCTGTTGGATTCTTCCAGAGAGATTGACCAATATCTGATGTTCAATACTTTGTTATATTGAGAAATGTGTAAATGTGATCTATGTCATTTGCATAAATGCTGCTTTCATGAAAACCGTCGCGTTCTTGGTGTCCTGTTTACCTGTGTGCATGTGCCGTTTCCGAATGATCCTGTTTTTAACTGACAGGTCTTTGTGAACACTTTACCTGCCACTTCAGTAGTGCTTCTGTATCTTGACCACTGAGAGAGCTCTAATGTCAAGTGAGAAATACTTATCAATAGTCTGGCGATATAAAAAACTTCACTTCTATATATTACATTTACCTAGTCCTGATTCTGCCCTAGAGCAAAAGAAATAGAAATATACTTGTGAAACTAAAGCATTCATACTTTTAAATATTTTTGGATACGGGGGGGGGGGTGAATATTTCATATAAGAAGAACATTACAAGAAGGATTTAGACCAACAGTGCAGATCTGACTGTACATTACTTTTGTACTTTTTTAAGTGAAGGCTACGTGCAAGTGCATTTAAAACCGCACAACACTGGACACTTCCTCACCCGAATAGCTGTGAGCGTGGGGAAGACGCTACCCTGCCGTGCGCTTCTCTCAAGAAAGACTAGATGAGGTCCTGGGATCAATTAACCATTAATTGTCAAACGTGTAAGATAGGCTGAATGGGCTCCTCCCGTTTGTGACGCGTCTTGAGCTGACTTGTGCGGTGTGTGTGTGTGTGTGGGAGGGGCCCGGAGAACAGGTGTCTTCTGGACCTGGGCTGGACAGGAAGACTGCCCCCTTCCTGTCCAGCCCGCAGCTAAATTATACTTCCTCATGCACTCGAATCCTCAGCCCGTTACCACCCCCCGAAAAATGACTCCCAACTGTCCTCAAACTGCTTCTTCCACAGGATATGCATCATACTTTCTAAAACTAGTTTTCATAAAAGCACTTCGGTGGAATTCCAAAACAGATGAACTGAAATGAATTCCATTTCAGCCCATTGATATTTTCTAGAAAACAGCCACAGCTCTTCAAAAACCTGATACCGTGAAGGCTGCGCTAGTTATCACAGGTACAAGTCGTGCCTCTGCATTTTTTGTACCTGTTAAATTTCTTGGTTAATATGTGGCGAGTCCAACCCCCACAGGTCCTAAATAAAAGAGTCCTACTGATTTGTTCTTTGCCCGAGGAGACGTTCTAAAAGACTAGGACAAGACGGGCAGAGGTGGAACACAGAGCGCGTGGGGAGGGTCGGCTCTCCCAGCAGAGGGGCCCACAGCTGCAGTAGGGGACTCCTCTACTGCGTCTTCTCTCCAGCGACGACGACGGCGGCGGCCTCGGTCTCCCTCTGCGCCTCCTGTCTCCAGCGGGCCTTCTTCTCCATATTCAAGCTCGTCAGGGACTCGTGACGCCCAACCGCCTGGAGAGGCAGAGCCGCGCGTGACTGACCGAACGCCCACAGACACCTGCAGACCTTTCCTGAACAGGCCAGAGCAGAGGACTGCAATCCTTGCACGCACACAGATGTGACTGTTTTTGTTTCCCTTTGTTTTACTGAACAGAAAATGGTAAGATGACACCACAATTCACAGCCACCAGACCATACGTCACACCTGTTCACTGTCCAGTAAAGCCCTGTTTCAACTAGTTAAGCCCAATTAATTCTTTCAGACCTTTTCAACATTACCTTATTTCTCAACTGCATATTGAGGGTGTCTGCAGGTATGCAATCATTCCTCTTTTTCTCCTAGAGCTATGAATACTTCCCTTGTGAGAAACATAGGAGAGATCTCAGCTGAAATGTTCAATAGTCCTGCTTTCATTTCTGTTTAAAATGTAGGATTTACATGATCACAGTCAAATGGCACTTTTTTCCCTTTTAAAAGTCTGCAGAGTTCTCCTCAAAATTTAAAATAAAAACAGATTAAATTCCTCACTGAAGAATTATTTTTGGGTTACTGGTTTTGTTCTGCATGTTTAGTACGTTTGTTACAGCCAGAAACTTTGAATCTAACAGCTCGAGTTTCCCCAAACAGAATTTGAAACCCTACCTGCTTGCCCAGGATGACCATTCCCAGACAGCCCACTACTGTGAGGACAATCATGGCGTAGCACGCCTTCACACGAACCTTGTTCCTTGCACCATCAATCATCTCAAACCTTAGGGGACACAGACAATAATTCCCACATCAATTCTTCGCATTGTTCCTGAAGACAAGCATCTGAGCAAACTGAGCACCGATTATACATGTGGAGGGGAGCTCCAGGAAAGGGCTGGAGAACCTTGTCTCTTCCACGCAAATTTGGGAATGCAGCACTGTAATGGAGCAGACAAGCCTGCCCGTGCTGGATGAGAAAGCCAAAGAAAATAGCAAGAGTGGAATGAAAACTCACTGCACCCAGTAACGCAGGACAAAGACCATTTACCTTCAGCACAAACAAAGACAACTTTTCACATGACTGCTTTGCTTTTAGGAATTAACAGAACCCCAAACCCCTCATTTCTCTCACAGGCAGAGAAATAAAAAATTTTATCCTGCAAAACAAGAGGGGAGAAAGGCGACAAAGGAACCACGTTTGGCACCACCCCCTGATTTACACTGGCTTATCATGAACGGTACTTACTATTTCAGCAGCAGAAAACGCAAGACTCAGGCCCCTGTAAGGGCTCTGGTTAGGTTTCATGTTAACACAGGACCCTACAAAAAAC